TTAAGCCAGTTGTTCCTCTTAAGCAAGTTTCAGTTTGCGTTGTGATTGAGATAACTGCAATAGTCGGAATAATAAGTGACGTAATGATTGTCGAAAGTAGTATGATGTTTGACACTCTTCGTCTGAATTGATGGCTTTGGTGATGAATATTTCTGAGTCTTGTGTACATCTTCTTTTCGGCGTAATTGATTTGTCGTTTCCAACTGTCGCTGTTCTTATAGTAGATGTTGTCGAACATCCAACGGAAGGGAAACGTTAAAGCTTTTAGTATTGTTGTTAAGCCGTTGACGAATAAATTGACGATGACGCGGATGGAACTGAAGACAGTGATGAAACATCCAAATAAGCTGCTGAAGACGAAGATTCCCAAAAGAAATAGGAATGTTGCCCATTTTGGGTTGCAAGTTGGGTTGGCTAGTTGTTCAAAGCAAAAGTAGCAGTCGAATAGGTTGCATTCATTCACAGCCGGGCAATTAATCCTCTTTGTAATGCTGTTGTGGGAGTTTTGCCAGAACCATGCTTCGCATTCATAGTCGTTAATAAGGATCTCGGTGGCTAATTCATAAGTGTATTCTTTCATGTCGGTATGGTCGATACAATTCTTCATACAACAAACTGCTGTTTTTTGAACTTCAGGTGGCGCTTTGACGATTACTCCTTTAGTCGAACATTGGAGTTGGCAATTGTCGCATTTGAACTCATAGAGTGCGAGTGCTGAAGCAATGGTCGATAAGCTGAGAAGGCAAGAATAGTCGTATTGGCCGCATCGATACCAAGGTGTTGTGGTTCCAAATGCTAGGATGTTGGCGAGTAAGACGATAATAGCCACCAGTGTTGTTGTATTGACGACTGATTTGCGTGGTCTGAGAGTCATTTGATGTTGACGAATTGGTTTTGACGGTTCTTTAGGCGTTTCCTCTTGATTTTCTGAGATGTTTGTCGCTATATGATCGTCGACCTCAGTTTCCAATGGACATAGCCGGCTGACTGGACGGGTGATGATCTTCCCATCTCCAGTTAAAAGATTGACGCTGCGAATTTCATTAGCCGGGCCATTGAGTTCGACGATTTTTGCCAAAGGCCATAGATTGCGTGGTCGAAGATCCATCTCGACGAGGACAATTTGACCAATCTTTGGTGGTGATGTTGTTTGGGAACGTGGTCCCTTGTGAGTCCATTCAGCACGTTCTCTGATGGCCAAGATGTATTCGTTGCTCCATCGGGACCAAAAGACGTCTGCTGCTTCTCTGTATGCTGTCCAAAGTGCTGCCAATTTCTCAGGTCCAGTTAATTTTTCGTCGTCGTAGTCGAGTTCGCAATCTGTTGGTCCAAGGTCGTTCGGTCCACTGTTTTGTATGAGGTCTTTAGGCGTTAGTGGCAATGGTGCTCCAGGTTGGTCTGACACCCAGGTGATTGGTCGACTATTGACGCTAGCTTCCACTTCGGCCAAAAATGCACATAAGTCGTCGTAGTCGAGAATTCTTTTGCCGATGGTGCGTTGAATTGCTCTTTTGACGAGTCCAATGAGTCGTTCATATGTTGCTCCCATCCACGGTGCATAAGAAGGTATGAAGTCCCATCGAATGCCATTCTTAGTCGTGTAGTCCCAAGGGGGATTTTCAGGAGGCGGTCCAGTAAGCAGGTCCAAAGCTTTGTGTACTTGAATGAAGGTTGGCGCATTGTCGCTCAATATTCGACGTGGTTTGCCTCGACGACTGATGAATCGACGTAAGACGTTGACGACGGAGATTGCTGACATATCTCGAGTTGGTTCCAGATAGATACCACGTGTGACCATACAACAAATGATGATGATCCATGTTTTGACGTTTTGGCCGGCGTAGTTGGTGGTAGTCGGGCCAAGGAAGTCGATGCCCACAAATTCAAAAGGCTTTGCTGGTCGCACACGCATTGGCGGTAGTTGAGGCATTAATGGACGGACAAATGGTGGTGCATGTTGTCGGCGGCATTGAAGGCATTTCTGAAGAATTCCTCTGATGGTTCGACGAGATTGAGGCATCCAGTATCGGCTGAGGAATTCTGTCATTGTCCAATCGACGCCAGCATGTTTGAGGTCCACATGTATTTCTTCTACCAATAGTCGAGTTAATGGCGAATGTCGATCAAGCAGGATGGGCAGTGCCATAGTTTCGGGTCCATTGCAGAAGTTGACGCGGGTTTTCAAACATAAAAGTCCATCGCTGTTAATTGCCGTGGGGTGTGTTGTATAGCTTTCCAATAGACGTTTCTGTTCTTGTCGTATGATGAAGATTCGTGCTGCTCGGTAATCGTCGACAGTCATAGGTCCCTGGCGTGAGACTTTAGAAGTTCCCATGTTGAGAACATTCGGTCGATGTCGTCCCATGAAGCGGATAATCCAGATCACCACTCGAAGAAGAGTGAAGATGGAGCTAAACCTTCCAGGGTCTATTGTCGGCGGCTCTGGTTCTTTCGTCGAGAATGCTATTGTGTCGGTGTTGTCGGTGATGGTATTGTCGTCTGTTTGCTTGCCGATGTTGAACGATAATTCGTCGGGCCAGTCGTCGGATGGTCGAACAATCCATTCTGGGCCATTCCACCAAAGAGTCGACTGTTGTAGTTCCATTGGTGTTGAACCACGTGTCGCGATGTCGGCGGAATTTTGGTCGGTTCTGACGAAATGAAAAGTTCCTTTGGCGCCATCTCGAATTTCTGTTAGTCGTCGTTGCTCAAATTGAGGTTTTGGGTCGACGGATTGAATCCAAGCCAGAACAATGCGTGAGTCCAACCAGAAATGGACGCCACTGATTGGTCGATGTAGTTCCTTTTCGACGTGTATTTTCGCTCGGACGGCTATTAGGGCGCCAAGTAGTTCCATTCTTGGGATGGTGAGGCTTGACTTGGCTTTCTTTGGGCGCAGACGATTTCTTGCAAAAATGAGTGTCGATTTGACGTTTGGACCATTTGACGTTCGTAAATAGACGCAGGCGGCATAAGCTTTTTCAGATGCATCACTGAACACATGTAGTTGCCACTCAGTTGGGCTGTCTATGATTGCTTGTCGAGGAAGCGTGATGGTTTGGTCGTTCCAGCATTGCTTGATGTTCTGCCATTCTGTCGTTTCTTCTGAATTTATTGGCGTATCCCATGTTCTTTCGTTGTCCCATAGACGTTGGAAGAATAATTTGACGTGAAGAAGACATGGGTTGATAAGTCCCAGTGGATCGTAGATGCTGGCCAATGCACTAAGCACTGTTCGACGAGTGACGATGTTGGCGTCATCTTTTGGAAATTTGTGTGTGATTGAGTCGTTGTCTGTGTCCCATTTGATGCCCAAGACTTGAGCTTTGGCTTTGTCGAGTCGGTCTTCTTCTGGTATTTGTTCCATTATTGTTTGTCGGTGGCTGAGGAATTCTCGAAGGTTCATTGCTGCTTTCTTAAATATGTCTTTGGCGGTTTTCATTTTGCCGAGGGCCTCTTCTTCTGTTGAGCATTGAAATAGGATGTTGTCGACGTATGTATTCTTTGCCATTTCTTTTGATAATGCTGTGTTGAATTTCGCGTAGTGATGCAATAAAACTGCTGCAAGGACGAAAGGTGATGAGATGACCCCAAAGACCATCTTGGTATAGCGTTTGACGACTAAGTTGTCTGTGGTGATTGGCTTATTGACGTCGCGCAGCCAAAGAATTTTGCAAAATTGTCGATCTTCTGGGAGCATTTCGATGGTATGAAATGCTGCTTGGACGTCAGACAAAATTGGTATGAGGCATGTTCTCCATCGTATGAGCATTCCGACGAGTGTTGGTAGTAGAACAGGTCCACGGTACAAAGCTTGATTAAGACTTGCTGCTCCGTTGGGATGAGCACTTGCATCTAAGACGATTCTTAGCTTCTTTGGATTGATGACAGCGTGGTGAGGCATGAAGAATTCTTCTTTGTCGCGGCCGGTTTCTTCAATTATTCCTTTCTCTTCTTGGTCGCGTAGGTTTTTGTCGTATTTGGCGAGAAGTTCAGGCGATTGAATTAGGCGTTTGATGTTAGCTTGAAGGCGGCTATAGGCCATTGTCCAATTTGAGTTGATGGTTGGTCGAGGTTCCCTCCAAGGTAGACGAACAGTGTAGGTGCCATTAGGTTTTTGACGTATTGATTGTTCAAATAGTCGCATGGCGGTGTCGTCGTCTTTCTCAGCCAGGTTCTCCTTGATTCCAATAGACTCAAGAGCCCAAAAATTCTCGACGTCATTTGGTTTAATAATGTCTTCTTTGTCGTCGTCGGTGAGTGCCATGAATGTTGTAGGCGAGTTAGTCGACTTGAAGCAAGATTCACCTCCTAAGACGTCTCCAAAGACGGTTTGAATTTTGTAGAGCTTGGGGCCAAGTTGTTGAAAGCCGGTGACGAATTTCCAGAATTCACGAATGCCAATTAATATTGATGGTGTTCCTTTAACCGGTTCGACGCAGTCGTCTTGTCCAATGAATTGGAAGGTTTCCATTGAAGTAGAAATTTCGTCGATGGTGTTAAGCTGCATCGGCTCCCATTCGCCGTCTTGACGTTTTAGACGAATTGAGACGAGTGGTGAATGGACGGTCTTCGGATTTTGATTCGCAAAGGTGTGTATGCGAAGTACTTCTTCAGAAAGTTTTGGCGGCTGAAGGCGATTGACGAGTTCTTTGGCGATGTAGCTTGTTTGGCTTCCTGAGTCGAAGAAGACCATTGCTGGAATTCCTTCTCTTGGACCTCCCGGGCACGAGACGTTGATGATGATTGTCATTAAATGAGTTTTGTTGTCATTTTGTCGTGCTGTCAAGTAAGTTGACGAGTCAGGTGCTTCTTTTGCTTCTTCTTTGACTTCTTCAGGTTCATTTGCTACCTTCTGAATTTCACTGACTGGTGGTGTAGTCTCTTCTTTAACTTCTTTCTCAGAGTCTGTTGACTCTTGAAGCGAACTCATTGTCGTCGTAGCTCGTTGTTTGTTGAGCGTTGTCGCATTTCCACCAGTTACTTTTGGCATTGGTCGATCATTTCGGCGCGGTGGTGTTTGGCGTTGAGGCATCTTGGAAACTGTCTGTTGCACTGATCTTGCCGGTGGTGTTGGCGATTGAACCGAAGATTGCAAAGCTAGACGTGGTGCATATGAGACCGCTTGAGGAGTTGGATAGTCGATTTTTGCCTGCGGTGGTATGCAAATAAGGAAGTGATGGTCGTCGCCTCCACACTGACGGCAAATAAAAGATCGCTGGCATTGCTCTGTCGTATGACTTTGCTGGAGGCACTTCAAACATCTGCTTTGTTCCAATAGACGAAGTTTGCGCTGTTGAGGTGTCGAATATGAGGGGCATCTGCTTGGTTTGTGTCCAACCATGGCGCACAAAGAACATGATTGTGGAAGTTGTTGTTCTCCACGGTTGACGTAATTGGCGTTGGCGTTATTTGCGTTGGCGTTATTGGCGTTGGCGAATACCGGAAATGCTCTGGTATGTTCCATTTGGCGTGGCAATTGTCGAATCTCTTGACGCACTTGTTGCTGATTACTTCTTTGCACTTCTTGTCGACGTGGTGGTTCGTCGTGAAATGAATTCATGCATTCGTCGGTGGCTTGACGAATGTTGACGATGTTTTCCAATGCTTGTCGCAGTTCTTTGTGTGTCCACTTCTTAGGCGAGTCAAGTTCTTTTGCGATGAGTTCCTGAAGAATTCCATGTGGAAGTTTGGACTTGATGATGTTGCACAAAAACATAGGCGATTGGTTGTCCAAATATTCCAGTTGAAGACAAATTCTTTCATTGTCCTTCTGGAATTGCGTGAGTTCGCGAAGGTTGTTCCTGATGGGCGGAAGTTTGAGAAGTTGTGCCTGAAGTTGGTTGCTGAGTTGGTCGTCATTACCATACTTCTTCTTTAGAATTTCCTTGACGATTCTGTAATTGTCGTCGGATGGTGGATAACCACTAATCGCTTCTCTGGCTGATGATCCTTCTTTAAGATATTGCAGAAGCAGGAGATGCTTCTGGAAAGACGGATACTGTTGCTTGTCGACTGCATGTTCAAAAGCTGCCCAAAAGGTGCGCCAATCACGTATGTCGCCACCAAATGTTGGGAGACGGACGCTGTCGACCTTTAGAGCATTAGGAAGCCCATATTGTGGTTGCTGGAATGAATTGGTATGCTGATAGTCGTAATTCTGGCGTGATGTCTCATGCTGATTTCCAATACTCGGTTCTTCAAAGTCTGGCGCGCTGGGCTGACGCATTCGTCGATTTTGCCTCCAATCATTTTCTTCTTCGTCGTCAGAAAGAAATTGACGTCTTTCTTGGCGCAGCGGAGTTTGATTGTCGACCATGTTCGCTGATGCTGATCCTTGTACACTAGGCGCTCTTGGCGAATTATTGCTGTTGCTCTCTGTCGTCATTTGTCGAATAACTCGATAAGCTTTGATCCGGTTGATCACTTCACTTGCTCTGTCTACCAATTTTGAGACTGGCCATTGTTCTGCATTTTCAAGATTCTGGTCGGATATTTTGTCGTATGTTAAGAAATTGGCGAGGTAGTCTGCATGTTCGTTTTGCTGTTGTTCGTCGAGGCCATCCATAAATTGATTGTATTTGCTGATGATTGTTTTGAGTTGGTTGGTTCGTTCTGTGAGATGGACGAGTTCCATCTCCACTGATGCTGCCAGTTCATCTTCCTTCTCTATTGACGGTTTGGATTTGAGTTGGACGATGCAAGATTCGGCGATTTTGAGGTGTTCGACGAGTGCTCTTGTCGTTCCATAAAGTTCTTGACGTATAATTCGTGCCATTGATGGTTGGTTAGACGCGGTTTGCCAAATAAAACTAATGTTGTACAGTTAGACGGCTGGTGGTCGCTGTACTTGCTCAACTAATAGTCGTTTGTTCTGCTGGGAATGTGGGTCTTTGACGACGGCTGATCCTTTTGGCGCAGACGAACAATTAGTCGAAATGTGCCGACTTCAAAGGTCGGTTTGGTTGTTGTTTTGTGTTTGTGTTGACTGATGAATGTCGACGGCTGTCCCGGGTCGTGGCACCAATTTTAACGGGAACTACCTAGGTCGGGATTCCCAAGAGGGAACTAGGAGTTCGCCGCTAAAAGATAGTCGAAAGTGTGTTGAGGTTGATGAGCGTCTTAATCCCAAAGATTAAGACGTGGCAAACCAATTTAAAGAATGTTAGGCGATTAGGCGAAAGTTTTGGATGGATGGCCAAGTTTAGACGATAGACGAACAATTGAATATTCCCAAAGAATATTCACAGAATATTACCAAAGAATATTAAAACAAAAGAATATTAAAAAATATTTATTTAATCAAAGAAATTTATAATTGTATGTGTGTGTGGTTCTTAAAAGGCTAGTTGGAATGATAAGGAAATGGTTAAATGAATGTATATATGAATGTAAGAATGTTATAATGAATGTAAGAATGTTGGTGTAAGGGGAAAAATTTGCCTTAAATAGGCCAGAATCAATGTGTGTGGTAAAGAATGTGGGGGCAATGGCAAAAAATGGGTAAACATAAAAAATTATATGTTTTTAATAATGTTGGCGGAAATGCACTTTCTCCCTTTTTTCCCTTTTGGATGAAATTATTAATAATTTTTAGATTGGAATTTAAGATAAAATGGATAAATTTATCCATTTTATGGAAAAAAGAGAGAGAGAGCAAAGTAGGCGATAACGATCACTAAAAAGTGATGTCATACAAAATAAAAAGGAAAAATTAATAATTTAATTAATTTCCTCCTTCGACGAAAATTTAAAGAAATTTTCGACAAATGGAATATTGGTGGATTTGGAAGTATCAAATGTAATATCAATTGACTTGTATTTGATATCGAAGGATCAAGTGGGATATAAGTGGATTTTAACTAGGAATAATGGATTTTAAGGAATTAAGGGGGATATTGAAGGACTGAGTGTGTATCGAGAGATTTAGAGGTAGTAAAAGTGATATTGTGGATTTGTGAGATCAGGAGGGATATCAAGGGATTTGTGGATTAAGAGGGATATCAAGGGATTTGTGGATTAAGAGGGATATCGGGGGATAACGAAATATCAGTGGATAAAAAATCTTGGGATATGATATCCGTTTTGATATCCATCTCTCAAAGTCCGTCTTGATCCCTTGAAATCCATTTTATCCACTTAATCCTCTATTAGTCGATTATCTCGGATATCCACAATATCCTCATGATCCTGGATATCTCAAATATCCCACCAAATTTTCTCATAACCCACTGAAATTTCCCTTAATCTACCGAAATTTTTAAAATTCATATCAGTGTTTTGTAGGGATATCGAGGGAACATGATGGCTTAATGGGAGAAGAAAGGATATCTAACAATCTTATACGCAAAATTTTTTGCGCCGCAGGCGAAAATTTTTTGAATTTCCGATGGGTAATAAGCAAAAATACATCCTTTTTGCGCCAAAAATTCAAATTTTTGTCAAAAATGACGTTCGATATTTTTTTCGATTTTTTGTAATTTGGTCGGTCGATTGTTTCGATTTTTAAATTTCTTCGGTCGGTATTTTTTCGATAAATATCGAAAAATACCGAATATCGAAAAATATCGAAAAAGTCAAAATTTTCTCGGTCGATATTTTTTCGATAATATCGAAAAATATATATCGAAAAATATCGAAAAATATCGAAAAAAAATCGTATCGAGCCGATCTCTAATTTTTATTCAACTTTTCTCTAACTTTTCATTTTTCCAAAAAATTGTTTTCCAAATTTTTCTCGTTCATTTTAATTTTTAGAATTCTTCCAATTTAACATTGATAATACTTTTTATTTTTAATATTTTCGCTGTTATCTTTATTCAACTTTTTTCTCTTTTAACTTTTCATTTTTCCAAAAAATTGTTTTCCAAATTTTTCTCGTTTATTTGAATTTTTAGAATTCTTCCATTTTAACATTGATTTTAATTTTTATTTTTAGCTGAATTTTTTATCTTCTTATTTTTTACTTTTAAAGAAATTTGTCGAGTATGTTTATTCCATGTTTTCATTATTTTTTCATCTATTTGATTTTTATGAATTATTCCAATTTAACTTTGCTAAAAGATTTTGATTGCAGATTTTAATTTTTAGCTGAATTTTTTATCTTCGTATTTTTCACTTTTAAAGAAATTTGTCGAGTATGTTTATTCCATGTTTTCATTATTTTTTCATCTATTTGATTTTTGTGAATTATTCCAATTTAACTTTGCTAAAAGATTTTGATTGCAGATTTTAATTTTTATTTTTAGCTGAATTTTTTATCTTCGTATTTTTCACTTTTAAAGAAATTTGTCGAGTATGTTTATTCCATGTTTTCATTATTTTTTCATCTATTTGATTTTTGTGAATTATTCCAATTTAACTTTGCTAAAAGATTTTGATTGCAGATTTTAATTTTTATTTTTAGCTGAATTTTTTATCTTCGTATTTTTCACTTTTAAAGAAATTTGTCGAGTATGTTTATTCCATGTTTTCATTATTTTTTCATCTATTTGATTTTTGTGAATTATTCCAATTTAACTTTGCTAAAAGATTTTGATTGCAGATTTTAATTTTTATTTTTAGCTGAATTTTTTATCTTCGTATTTTTCACTTTTAAAGAAATTTGTCGAGTATGTTTTTCCATGTTTTCATTATTTTTTCATCTATTTGATTTTTGTGAATTATTCCAATTTAACTTTGCTAAAAGATTTTGATTGCAGATTTTAATTTTTATTTTTAGCTGAATTTTTTATCTTCGTATTTTTCACTTTTAAAGAAATTTGTCGAGTATGTTTATTCCATGTTTTCATTATTTTTTCATCTATTTGATTTTTGTGAATTATTCCAATTTAACTTTGCTAAAAGATTTTGATTGCAGATTTTAATTTTTATTTTTAGCTGAATTTTTTATCTTCGTATTTTTCACTTTTAAAGAAATTTGTCGAGTATGTTTATTCCATGTTTTCATTATTTTTTCATCTATTTGATTTTTGTGAATTATTCCAATTTAACTTTGCTAAAAGATTTTGATTGCAAATTTTAATTTTTATTTTTAGCTGAATTTTTTATCTTCTTATTTTTCACTTTTAAAGAAATTTGTCGAGTATGTTTATTCCATGTTTTCATTATTTTTTCATCTATTTGATTTTTTTGAATTTTTCCAATTTAACTTTGCTAAAAGATTTTGATTGCAGATTTTAATTTTTATTTTTAGCTGAATTTTTTATCTTCTTATTTTTCACTTTTAAAGAAATTTGTCGAGTATGTTTATTCCATGTTTTCATTATTTTTTCATCTATTTGATTTTTTTGAATTTTTCCAATTTAACTTTGATAAAAGATTTTGATTGCAGATTTTAATTTTTATTTTTAGCTGAATTTTTTATCTTCTTATTTTTCACTTTTAAAGAAATTTGTCGAGTATGTTTATTCCATGTTTTCATTATTTTTTCATCTATTTGATTTTTTTGAATTTTTCCAATTTAACTTTGCTAAAAGATTTTGATTGCAGATTTTAATTTTTATTTTTAGCTGAATTTTTTATCTTCTTATTTTTCACTTTTAAAGAAATTTGTCGAGTATGTTTATTCCATGTTTTCATTATTTTTTCATCTATTTGATTTTTTTGAATTTTTCCAATTTAACTTTGATAAAAGATTTTGATTGCAGATTTTAATTTTTATTTTTAGCTGAATTTTTTATCTTCTTATTTTTCACTTTTAAAGAAATTTGTCGAGTATGTTTATTCCATGTTTTCATTATTTTTTCATCTATTTGATTTTTTTGAATTTTTCCAATTTAACTTTGCTAAAAGATTTTGATTGCAGATTTTAATTTTTATTTTTAGCTGAATTTTTTATCTTCTTATTTTTCACTTTTAAAGAAATTTGTCGAGTATGTTTATTCCATGTTTTCATTATTTTTTCATCTATTTGATTTTTTTGAATTTTTCCAATTTAACTTTGATAAAAGATTTTGATTGCAGATTTTAATTTTTATTTTTAGCTGAATTTTTTATCTTCTTATTTTTCACTTTTAAAGTAATTTGTCGAGTATGTTTATTCCATGTTTTCATTATTTTTTCATCTATTTGATTTTTTTGAATTTTTCCAATTTAACTTTGATAAAAGATTTTGATTGCAGATTTTAATTTTTATTTTTAGCTGAATTTTTTATCTTCTTATTTTTTACTTTTAAAGAAATTTGTCGAGTATGTTTATTTCATGTTTTCATTATTTTTTCATCTATTTGATTTTTGTGAATTATTCCAATTTAACTTTGCTAAAAGATTTTGATTGCAGATTTTAATTTTTATTTTTAGCAATAAAATCTTTTAGCAAAGTTCAATTTGAAAAATTCATAAAAATCGAATAGATGAAAAAATAATGAAAACATGGAATAAACATATTCGTCAAATTATTTTAAGTGTTTTTTGTTATCTTCAGCTAACTTTTTTCTTTAACTTTTCATTTTTTTAAAAAATAGTTTTATTTTCAATTTTTTCTCATTTACTAATTTTTTCTCATTAATTTTTAGAATTCTTCTAATTTAACATCGATAATACTTTTTATTTTTAATATTCGTTGTTATCTTTAGTGTAAGCCCCGAACTCGAGACTCGATACTTTAATTTTATCCAAGTCCCGACCCCGACTTTATTTACATTTCAATTTCCATTTATTACACTTGTTCTTTCCCATCCTATCCTTCCCCTCTACAATTTGTACATTTATTGTTATTTAATTTTTCCCATCCTATCCTTCCCTTTTATCTACACTTTGTATATTTTTCACCTTTCACATTCATTATTTTCATTTCCGTTCCCAACACTTATCCTTCCCGAACATTCCCAATAATGTAAACAACCTTTTATCCCTTTTCCCAACATTACCACAATTATTACTTCCCAACTTTCCCAAACATTCATTTGTATTTCCTCCTCCCACTTTCTCCAATATTTAACCAAAGGGCTGAACAACAAATGACAGTTTTCAGTTCAGATGTGTTCAGTCCTAGAAAGTATCTATGTCCCAATGTTATCCTAGTCCCTGTTATATTACTATTTCCATTATTCCAATGTTTATGCTGAACCAAAAACTCATTTAATCTGTATATTTGAAATATAAGATAAATGTTTTAGTAAATCCATTCTATTTCAATTAAATTAATTAATTAAATCCCCTGCGCCTCCCCCGACTTAGTTCCCGTCTTCTTGTCCTCCCCACCCCCTCAAACGGCGCTCCGAATACCAGGCGGATGGTTGGGAATTGATAACCCCGACTATCCGGCCTGCGCTTACTGGTAGCACCGGATGGCGTTTTTCCCTCAGGGCCTTGGTCTCCCCACTCGCACCTCCCCGCACCCTTCCCCTCTCAATTTGTTTTTTAAATTTTAATTAAATTTAGCCTTAAAATTCTTCACTCTTCCTCCCCCCTTCCCCCACTAGCCTCACTCGTCCAAATCCATTTTTAAATTTTTATAAATTTTATTCATTTAAACAGTAATTTTTCATTTTCCACCCATCCAATCTCTCACATTCCAACAGTCAAAAACCCTCTTCCCCCCACTCCCTACAAATGTAAATTTAGCATAGGAGAAAAGCATAGCCAATTTTGCACACTCATCACTAGGCTTCGCTTTCTTCTATGCCCACAAAATTCATCGGCTCATATTTAATGTCCCCTCTAACTATACTTTTCTTTTCTCTTCCCCCCGAATGCTTCCCTTTAAAAATGGCTTGTTTATCCCTCTTAGAAGAGTGGGCAGAATTTTTTTCTCTCTCATCAAAAAAACAGTTTGCCCTATCTTACAAAGGAAATAAATTTTTGTACTGCCCAGATGTGCCCACTCTCCCACTCATTCTTACAATTTCTGTTCTCCTTTTATTAAAATAAACATTCTCCATTTTTTTACAATAATAAAACATTTTTCTTCCCTTTTTTCAATCTTAAGGGTTATTCATTTTTTACACTTCTCCCCCTTCTAAACAAAAATTTGTATTTTTCTAAGTTAAAGGAAAAGAGTTTATTCTAGACCAAATTAACTTCGAAAAATAACCAAATCAGTATAATTAATGTATGGAGGCTAAGACCCCCCCCCCCCCCAATTATTGTGGTGGTTTTTGAAGTAAAAATTTTTTGACTTTCCGTGTTTTAGGTAACATTAGAAATGTCGAAAATTATTTTAAAACCCCACCTTCCTCTATTTTTACAATTGTCATAATTTTTCTAATCATGGATTTAAATTGTGTTGAAGCAGTTATTAGGCTAATCGGTGACCTTAGAGAAACGATTAACTAAAATGTTTTCCACAAATTGAAGGATTTAGAACAAATGTAAAAATTTCAATACCTTTACCTCCCGATAAATTGTAGAATTACCACAAGGAAAGTCAAAAGGTGAATGGTTTTGTCCAAAAACAATTTATTGGAATTTTGGTGTAAATCAGAAGGGTGTAAATCTTCCTCACCTTATTCCTTTAAAATTGTGATAATTGTTGAGAAGTTGGGAAAAATTATTTACTCCTAAATTTTCCTTAAATTCGAAATTCTCCTTAAATTTTGCCCAATCTCCAGTTAACTTTTTGTCACAAATTGAACGGTTATTGTACTTTAGACACTTTTCTTGTTATAGCCAATAGAAAGAAGAGAAGCGACGCCTATAGTAACAGCTTCTTTATAATTTTTCCCAATTTCTCACTCCCTTCATTACCTCTCTCATTTCTTTACTCCCATTCGCGCAACCACTCCCATTCTCTCCTTCCTCCACCACCAATCCTCTCTCCACCTACCACCAATCCCCCCTCTACCACAAATCTCCCTCCACCCACCACCAATCCCTCCTCCACCTACTCCCCCCTACATTATTATTTGCTTCGTGCCTTCTATCCTCTCTTCGCCATCCTCCCCAAATGAATGCAAGAAATAATTTTTAAAACAAATTTGTTTAACCTTGTTAGAATTTATTTAAAAATTAATTTTCAATCACAAAATCCCCCAATATAATTTTGTTAAAAATTTTTTCTTTCGCATTTAAAGAGCTGTTTCGAAAATTCGATTTCAAAAATTTTGAACTGATGTCTTAAAAGTTACTCCTTCAAAACAGCTCTAACTGTTAATTATATTTTTAAAAAGAAATTAATTTTGAGAAAATGCTTTTCTTTTAATCCGGGCCTTTATATTTCCCTTGTCTTTACTCTCCCCTCCAAGCCTCTTTCCATTTAAATTTTGAAATAATGGGTGACCGAATTCAATGTCTTGTCCGATCAAAACATTAAGGAAATGTTGCATTGGAGGAAGATAAATTTTTCTTTTGGGACCTCGCCTAAATTTTGTTTGTTGGAACATTTCCTCTCCCAATCAAAATCAAGGCTGTGCACAATGTGATTTTTGGCGTTTTCGTTTGGCGTTAGGCACGTTACAGAAATTTTTGGCGCACAGCCCTGATTTTAACTCTATTCTTTTATGTGGTCTAAAAATTAAAAAAAATGGAGAGATAAGGGAGAGATTAAAAATCGTACAAAGTATAACATATTTAATAAAAAAAAAGATTCCCATAGAAAAAAAGTCCATTTTATATTTGTCCATTATTACAACAAAAAGTCCCAGTTAACAATATTCTGTAATCCATTGAAAAAAAATCCCAGTAAACTATCTTTAAGCGAATCTTTTAATGAAAATTATCCTTTTTCTGGGAAAATCCTTTATGAAAAAAAATCAAAATCCATTTTGTATTTGTCCAGTATTACAGCAAAAATTTCCCAGTTAACAGTTATATAATCCAATGAAAAAATCCCAGTAAACTATCTTTGAGTGAATCTTTTAATAAAAATTATCCTTTTCTGGGAAAAATCCGTTAAGAAATAAAAAATAAAAATCCATTTTGTATCTGTCCAATATTACAAAAAAAAGTCCCAGTTAACAATATTCTGTAATCCATTGAAAAAAAATCCCAGTAAACTATCTTTAAGCGAATCGTTGAATAAAAATTATTCTTTTTCTGGGAAATCGTTAAAAAAAAAACAAAATCCAGTTAGTATTTGTCCATTATTACAGAAAAAATTCCCAGTTAATAATATGCTGTAATTCATTAAAAAATCCCAGTAGACTATCTTTAAGCGAATCTTTCAATATTTCTGGGGAAATCCTTTAAAAAAACAAAGTCCATTTTATATTTGTCCATTTTTACACAAAATTCCCAGTTAATATTCTGTAATCCATTGGAAAAAATCCCATTAAACTATCTTTGAGTGAAAATCTTTTAATAAAAATTGTCCTTTTCTGGGAAAATTGTTGTGTTTTTTTTTCTCTCTTCCTCCCATAAGGCAAAAATATTAAATAATAGTTAACATTATATCCCGATCACTCTGACGAAAATAAATTAAAAGACATAATTAACGCTCCTTTATATTTTTAATTTAAATTTTTCGTGCATTTATTTTATTCATCCTCCCAAGTAAAGAAGTAAAGAAACTCTTTAGAATTAATCCGTCTTGGAATTAATCTATTGAGGAATAAATCGGCTCATTTATCTTAAATCCCTTAATTGTTTAAATTTTTATTTCAATTGCACTATCATATAATCATTTTTAAAATCAAATTAAATTTGAATTAATTTTTCTACCAAATCATTTTTAATTGCTTTAATATTTAAATACAATTACTCGCCCTCCTCCTCCCAAACTAGCCTGAATAATGTCTAAGGAAACCGCATATGACTGATCAACCGCATATGACTGACCAAAACTTAATCTGATTAATCTGACACCAATACCCGGCCAAACCCTTTCATCCGTTTTCCCACGAATTCATCCATTCCTTTTTCCGATAATCTCTCTTTCGTTTTTCTTCGATAAAAACAAAAGGGACGATCAACAATCCTACCCATATTTTTAAATTTTAATTAAAATTTTAGAAAATTTTTAGGTCTGTCCCTTGGGAAATTTTTTTTAAATAAAAATCCAATTATATTGAAAAAATTTTTCCCTTTAACATTTGTCCTAGTCAAGGTAATTCCTTGCATCAACATTTGTCCTAGTCAAGGTAATTCCTTGCATCATCATCAACAATACACATCCAAGTCTTTTCCTTGAACCATTTAATTCCATTGTATCTTAGGTCCAATTTTATTTTTAAAAATTTTTCCCAGGGCAGACCATTGATATTAGTGCAGTTGTAAAGAAATCCATTAGAATTAATTTATTATTAAATATTGAATTAATCTAATTGAGAATGAGTAAAACACAACCTCCAAATCTTTCCATAAATTCTCTAAGAATCCTTCCAACGCTCTTCAACCATATTCCCCCTTCTACCAACTTCCCCCCTTCTACACTATCCCCCTTCTACACTATATCCCCCCTTCTAACCTACCCCACTTCAACACTCTTCCCCCTTCAACCCTCCTCCATCCTCACTAATTCACCACACCCCCCCCCCCATTCTCTCACTTCTATTTTTACGCGCATTTCTCAAATTAATTTTAATATTATATTTTCTACTCCAATTATTAACTACAAATTCAACAATAATTAATCCAACTATTACATAGACTACTTCACATGTCATTTGAAAACCATGAACTCGAGCAACTCAACTTATTCTCAAAGAACACGGCCGTAGATAAGTTTACCAAACAAAAATTCCGTTTCCTATCCGCTTCCATTTTTACCCCTTCCAATTATCAAGTAACTTAAAACTCAAGGACCATAAAATGTATTGCAACATAAAGGCCTTGAGGTTAAAATTGAGAGAAATATTCTAAATTGAGGGATACTAATTTTTATTTACTTACCCCTGAAAATTAGAATTTGAACTTAATCCCATTATTCAGTTAATATTAAGAAAATCCTATCCCCATAATCCAAATTTTAAAGAAAACCTCAAGGACCAGAATGTTATCACATAAAAGGCCTTGAGGGAAAATATCCTTATTTATTTACCCCTGGGAAGTTAGAATTGACAATTAGTCCCATCATTCAATGAAACTTAAAAAATTCTTTCCGCTTAATCCAATTTTTAAGTAAACCCTCAAGGATCATATGTTATTACATAAAAGGCCTTGAGGGAAAACAAAAATAATGATCCAATTTTCTTCGGGAAATTCGAATTTTTCCTCAATCCTATTATTTGGTAAACACTTAGAAAAGGCTTCCAATTTAGTCCAAAAACCTCAAGGACCAGTTATATATTATAAACGGCCTTGGGCGAAGCTGAATAAGAAATTACTAATCCCAGAGAAACTATAATTGCCATTATTCTCACTTCCATCCCTCTCCAATCCTAAATTCTGGAACTCATTTAAAAATATTTAGGTAGCTAAAAATTTCGTAAATTATTGAAGGTGCTTAGGACATCTTTTCAACAATTTTCGGATATACAATGAATGTCCTAACCCATTCATCATTCACTATTAACTCGAGGAGAAATCCTCGAGATAATTTAATTCAGCATGAAAGTAAGTTAACAGTTTCAAATAACAATCCCTCACTCCAAAACTAATTATATAAAATTCAGTCTGAACTCGAATCTGTTCCAAACTCAATATGCCGTCCTCAACACAATATGCCATTCTCAATTTCTTTCAACAACAATAGGCCATTTCTTTCCCAACACAATATGCTTTACTGAACTAATCAACTTGTTCCCAATTCAATCTGAACTCAAACTTGTTTTCAATGCAAAATGTCCTTGTCTGAAGAATGAAACTGAGGAAACAAAACTCACAAAAATGTTAAATTGTATAATATTTTGTAATTTTTAATTTTTCAATTGCTCTCCTCACATTTCCCTCACCTCCTCATTCATTATATGTATCTCATAGTTAATTGATTCTAATTTACCCTCATCCCTCTATATTTAAGTATCGAGTCTAACAAAACTAAGGGAACCCAACTTTGAATCCATATTTAAATTCCTCATCCTAAAAACCCTTTTTAATAATCCAATGAAAAGTTAGTAGAGAGTAAAAACTCTATAAACTTTTCAACCATCTTCCCCCCTTTGACCCTATCCCCCCTTCTACCCTCTTCCCCCCTTCTACCCTCTTCCCCTTTCAGCCCCCCTCAACCCTCTTCCCAACTTCTCTCCCCCAACCCTGTGAGTAAAGTCCTTCGAATGGCCCAAAAAGAATTGGTAACCATTTGATCGAGAAACAGCGCTTTGTCCTAAATCATCAAACAAACGGGGACCAATTAAATTTGAGTCACCATTTGTAAACCTCCCGTTCTCTTTCCCATCCCCCCTCACCTCCTTCCTATCCCCCCTCACCACTTCCTATCCCCCCTTCCTCGATCCTCACCTCCAAAAAATCCAACCACACCACGCACGTAAGCGCAGGGTCGCGCTTATTGGCGGTAGGGAGATGTAAGCCCCGAACTCGAGACTCGATACTTTAATTTTATCCAAGTCCCGACCCCGACTTTATTTACATTTCAATTTCCATTTATTACACTTGTTCTTTCCCATCCTATCCTTCCCCTCTACAATTTGTACATTTATTGTTATTTAATTTTTCCCATCCTATCCTTCCCTTTTATCTACACTTTGTATATTTTTCACCTTTCACATTCATTATTTTCATTTCCGTTCCCAACACTTATCCTTCCCGAACATTCCCAATAATGTAAACAACCTTTTATCCCTTTTCCCAACATTACCACAATTATTACTTCCCAACTTTCCCAAACATTCATTTGTATTTCCTCCTCCCACTTTCTCCAATATTTAACCAAAGGGCTGAACAACAAATGACAGTTTTCAGTTCAGATGTGTTCAGTCCTAGAAAGTATCTATGTCCCAATGTTATCCTAGTCCCTGTTATATTACTATTTCCATTATTCCAATGTTTATGCTGAACCAAAAACTCATTTAATCTGTATATTTGAAATATAAGATAAATGTTTTAGTAAATCCATTCTATTTCAATTAAATTAATTAATTAAATCCCCTGCGCCTCCCCCGACTTAGTTCCCGTCTTCTTGTCCTCCCCACCCCCTCAAACGGCGCTCCGAATACCAGGCGGATGGTTGGGAATTGATAACCCCGACTATCCGGCCTGCGCTTACTTTAGCTAATTTTTTTCTTTTTTAACTTTCATTTCTCTAAAAAGTTTTATTTTTAATACTTATGTGCTTCGGCGCGCGGATTTGAAAAACCGCGCTTCGCTCGGGATTTTGCGGCACACGCCACGCGGGTAGTCAACGGTCTCTGGGATCCAAGTCAGTAACATAATACTATTCCTATTTTTACGGCGGTGGATATGCCTGCTTCCTTTGCATTGGCAAAATCCTCCACGTGTCAGTTAAATGGTCAGTCAATCGTATTAATTTTTATGTAGACAAAGGTAAGGTAAAAATTTTAAGAAAAATTTTTTTGAAGTTTAAAAAATTTAAAGAAAATTTTTGGAATTTTTAAGAGGGCAGTCCAGGACAATTTGGGGTCCCCGCGAAAAAAAGTTTAAAAATAAGGAAAAGGATTTTTCTAGGGTAAAATTATGCTTATTACGAATCTGAGCTGATAATTTAAAATGTCGAATCTCGGACCTGGGTTTGGTCATTTGACCACGGACTTTTTCGGCCATTGTATAAAATGCTAGTCTTTCAAAAGAATATAGAACTCATCGATCAGCATCGAATGACACCAAAATTAACGTGATTGGACATGTTTTAACAAATTTATGACATAAGTCGCCGACTGTTGGGGCTCCCATAGGTTTACTTCTCCCGGATTGCCTTTAAGAGTATTTGAAAAGTAAAAATTCTTGTATTTTTTAATTTAAGAATATTTGGAATTTTTTGAAAATTCCGAAATTACAAAGAATTTTCCTTTTCTTTTTAGATTGTTTTAACCAAATTTCAAATTTCGGTTAAATTCCTTTAGCTTTTGATTGTTGTATGAAACTTTATTCAAAGGTTCGTCAAACTTTGGTGGATAGTTTAGAAGAGATTGACGATAATTTAATTGTTGAGAATTTAATGATTGAATTATTTAATATGTTTATTTTTTTAAATATTTTTTGTTTGGTATTTTTTTAAATAAAAGTTAAAAATTTTTCGGAAACTTTTTAATTTTTTGTTTATATTCATACCCTAAAAAGGGATTAACTTTTAATTTTATTTTTTTTATTAATTTTAAAAGGTTTTTTTAATATCTCCAAAAATTAATCTAGTGCTTAAATGATTTTTGTGCAATATTTCTATTACATTTTGACAAACATTTCTGGGCTAGGCGTTTTTTTCGTGAGTTTAATGTTTTTTAATAAAGTTCAAGATTACAGTCAGACCTCGGTTATGGAAAAATTTTCATTTTGAGGTCGGAAAAATTAATTTGAAAGGCTTATTGGGGATATTGCCGGTTTTTAGTTTAGTGACCGGAACGGGATCTCAAAAAAATTTTTGTGGTTATCGAGATCGATATTCTTCGAGATTCTTGTACTATGACCTCCTTTCAGTCTATTTCTCTAGTTTAGTTTCTACCCCCAACTTATTGTTAGTTAAAATTTAAAAATTGCTGTATTTCCGAGTGAGTTCTGTCTTGTTGGCTTTATTTTTCATTAACATTTTTATCTTTACTTTTTTTCTTTCTTGATAAGACCTTTATAAAATTAATTTTACTTCCACGTTTTTAATCTGTGTTTTTAAACAACACATCTTTCCTCTTTCAAAATATCTTTTAAACAAGACTTGTCTTTATTTTTATCTTTATTTTTCATCAATTCCTTTCATTTAAAAGCTGATTTGTTAATTGATTAAAAAATAAAATAAGAATTCTTTTTAACAAGCTTTTTGTTTGTTAAAAATAAAAATATATAAGGACTGATTGCATTTCTTTGATAAACCCCCGGTAAAAGAACAACAAAAATTTCGAGTATTTCTCTGCTTTGTCTTTTTTATTTTTTATCAGTTGAACGGATCTCTTTTGCACTTTTCTTAATAAAGGCTTTTGCGCCACACACTCCTAAAAATATATTCAAAAAAAGATTTTTTGATTATCATTCTTTGCATTTTTGAATTTTATATGTTAATTTACTTTGATATTGGAAGAAGTAAAATAATTCTATTCTTTGTAAAAATTTTCTAAATTTTTTAGTTTGATTTTTGATCATTTCTCCCTTTGTTAGCGAGTTAAAAACAACCAAAACAACAAATATTTCTATTTATTCATTCAAATAAAATTATTTTCTATGCAAGGGATTCGAACCTGTGCCCATTTGCTCTTCAAATCTAACATTTTCCCACTACACCAAAAATGACAATTTTTCGTGGTGTGGTTGCTTATTCTGCACGCGGACATATCGGGATACAATTACCCTACTGATTTCGGGATCCACGGCCACTGGGTCTTGGATAGTATATTGTGAGTTTTTATGTTTTAGAACAAACGTAAACACGCAAGAAATTATTTTTGTCACCCCAATCCCGATATATGTATAATCAATCTTCTCTCAGTCTTATTCTTCTATCATTTAAACTAGGGATCTCAAAGGTTATCCAAATTATCATACCCGAAATCCGAAACTCTATCTTTTTTCTATCCGAAATCCCAATCCGAAGAAATTTGTAAATCCGACCCGACTTTTTTCTTTTCCTGTGGCATTCTTGATCCAAACCACATATTAAAATTATTTTTAAAAATTATCATCCAATTTTCTCTTTTCTAAGACAATTTTTTTTATAATAATATTCTTTAAAAATCTATGCACTTTATTTTTTCCTCATCAGTCTCAGACTTTTATTCACCTCAAAAAAAAGAGAATTATGATGATAATTGTTCTTCACATATCTATAAAAATATTCCCTTCTTCACACCACAAAAGCTTCTCCTTCCCTCCATCAGGTCGCCGTGCTGATTGGTGCCAGCGTGACCTTCTATCCCTTAAATATATTTTTCCCTCATCTTTGCCTCTTTCCAACAAACACAACAAAAACACGCGCAGAGTTTCCTTCCTCATTCACCCCCTCAATCAGCAATTTTATCGTTTATTTATTGGTTATTTTTAGGTCGACATATAAGCACAAAACACTCTTTCTCTCCTTACTTTTAATTTGAATTCAATGACTTTTTTGAAAATCCTTGGGATTCCTTCTTTAATCTGTTGGATTTAAACTCTTTCTCTTCTTTAAAATTTATTGCGTGATCTGATTTTTCTTTAGAAGTATAACCAAAAGTTTTATGCAAAGGGGTTATAGAGAAGGAGAGGTTTTATTTGAATCTGCTTGACTCAATCGACTTTGTCAAGGAACCTGAAGCAACAACTTTACATAACAGCGATACTCCTAACCTTAAATTAGTGGTATCACTTGAGGTATTCACTCGGGATGGATTTTCTTCCGCCTTTCGTTTTCCGCCTAATTTCGCGTTTTTTGGCCCTTCCGTCTTCCGCTTTTTTAAATTCAAAATTATCCATCCCTGATGTTCACCTTTCTAACCCATCAATAAAATTTTAATTTTGGGGAGGGACCAATTAAAAGTCGTTTGTAATCTTCCAGCATAGCTCAATAACTATTCGAAAATTGTCAATCTGTCTTTTCTTGTGTTAATTTTAATTTTGTTTCTTATAATCAAAATTCGAAAACTTTTTTTAAAAACTTTTTTTTTAATTTTCCAATTGACACAATACACACACAAATCATTACTCACAGCATTTCTCCCTCCTTTTCTCTCTCTTTTTCATTTGCGCGCCTTGGTGCTATTGTTAATAAAAACCAAGAAAAGTATTAATAGCTTTGA